GGAGGACATACTGACAGACGGGTGAGGGAAGGCCAGCCCATCACGCTCACTGGGAGAAGCAGAGAGGAGAGAGTTGTCTCTGATGCCCTAGGTGGCTGTTCCAGGGCTTTGCTCAGGGATCCATGAAAGATGGGCATTGTCCACCCCACACTGTTTGTAAACTTTCACTCAAATCATAATAAAAAACAAGGTCAATTTGTTTTCCGTCAATTATTCATACACATTTTGTTTTACAGCATTATTTACAATACCCACCATGTAACTGCACTCTTCCAGCTTTTGCCCTGTGATTCCCATGTCCATTAATTAACCTTCTCTCCTACCCCTTCTGCTTTGCCTTCTGCTCTTTAATCCTGGGCAGACACTGCCCTTTTGATATTATGTGGCTGGGTATTTTAAAGAACACACACTGCGTTATAGAAAAATTTGAATTCTTGACCAACATTCCACATAAAAATCAAGTTCTCTGGAAGAAATCAGAGGATCTGATCACACAGGACCTGTGTTTCCCCTCTTGGCCCCAATAGCCTGGAATTGGGGAGTGGCCAAGTGCTTAGATGGGTTCCCCAGTTCACTACAGTTTCCCCTCAAAGTCTAACAACACACTTGGTCTTACAGGAGCCCTAGCTATACTAACGGTTTTCAACTATTTTATTTTTATTTTTTTTTGGTGAGAAAAATTTATATTTAGAATTAGCCCGCTGGACTCAGTTTAGAGGATCCCAATTTTGTTGGCAACATCCAAAGCATCATAATCAGGAGCAAGTTGAACATAGGCCTTCTTCTCTCCATCAGGCCTGATCAAGGTGTTGACCTTGGCCACATCAGTGTCACAGAGCTTCTTTACAGCTTGTTTAATTTGGTGCTTGTTGGCCTTGACATCCATAATGAACACAAATGTGTTGTTGTCTTCTATCTTCTTCATGGCTGACTCAGTGGTCAGGGGAAATTTGATGATGGCATAGTGGTCAAGCTTGTTTCTCCTGGGGGCGCTCTTCCGGGGGTATCTGGGCTGCCTTCGGAGTCTCAGCGTCTTAGGCCGCCGGAAGGTGGGTGATGTGCGGATCTTCCTTTTTTTTGTGGTTGTGGATGCCCTTCAGGACGCCTTCTTGGCCTTTAATGCCTTTGCTTTGGCTTCAGTTTTGGGAGGGGCAGGGGCTTCCTTCTTGGCTTTCGGCACCATTTCCTCAACTATTTTTTAAATTGAGATTTTTAAAAAAATTTTTTGTTTTGTTTTTTCACTAAGATTTAATGAAAGTTTATAAAGAACTTGGCTTTCCATTCATTCATTGTTGCACATTTTCCTCCCTGTCCTCTCCTCCCCCCCAAATCCCATTCACTTTTTTCTTTAGAAAAAAAGTTCTTTCATTGTTATACAGTCCTCCCACCTCCGACCACTTTACTCTGAAACTCTTATTCCAGACTCTTGTCATGCCAATAATACCTAATCATATATTCTTTTAATACAGTTCTCTCCCTCATCTGTTTCAGTGCTGTGTACATTATCTATCCCCTCTTTTCTTAGTCTTTCCCTAGCCCCCATGTCACTCCTTTTTCTAACAGTGGCACTAGGAAGTATTTGTCTTTTTGTAACTGAGCTATTTCACTCAGAATAATGTCCTCCATGGTCACCCATTTTGTATAATATTTCATTAGTTGTTTTTCAGTGCTGCAAAATATTCTATTGTGTGAATATACCAGAGCTTCTCTATCCATTTGTTTGTTGATGGGCACTTGGGTTGTTTATAACTCTTTGCTATTGTGAATAAGCAGCAATAAACATGTATGGGCATATATCTTTAATTTATTTTTTTAATTTTTTTTTTTATTATTTGTGTGTACCATCAAATCAGATCTGACTGGTACAGGAGGAGATTATCCCTCCTTCCCAGGCAGAGCATCTGGTGGATTCAAACTGTGCGCCTCTGGGATTGTAGTTGCAGCTTCTTGCCACTAGGCCATCAGAGCTCCCCTAGGGCATATATCTTTATGGCTGGAGGTTATGGTTTCTTTAGGGTATATTCCCAGTAGTGGAATTGCTGGGTCAAATGGCATTTCTATTTGTAACTTTTTGAGAAAGCGCCATATCACCTTCCACAGTAGTTGCACCATTTTACACTCCCACCAATAGTGAATAAGGCTTCCAGTTTCTCCACAACCTTGCCAACATTTTTGTTTGCTGCTCTGTTGAATTTTGCTATTCTGACTGGGGTGAGGTAGTATCTCATAGTTGTTTTGATTTGCATCTCTCTTAGAGCTAGGGATTTTGAACATTTCTTCATGTGCTTATCCACCATCTGAAGGTCTTCTTGGGTGAAGTGTCGGTTCATATCCTGTGCCCATTTTGCAATTGGGTTGTTTACAGTTTCCAGCTCTTTTAACTGCGGTTCCTCACTTCAAAGGTTGTGTAGAAGGTCAGGGTTTTATGATATTGTTGCTGTTAGTGCCGTTGGCTTTGCTTCTGCTCCAAGGACCCTCACGGGCCACAGAGGAAACAGTGCTGGGCCTGGCGTCATCTTCACAATTGTGGGCATGTGACTCCACTGCCATGCCCACGGCAGACGCCACGTGCCTTCAAGCCCCCTCTGCTCTCCCTGCAGCACTATAGCGGACAGCATCCCCTTGTTCATGAGCTAATTTTCAGAAGTACATTGCCAGGCCTTTCTTCCTCTTCTCTCTTGGTCTGTCAGTGCCTCTGAAACACGTCCACACCACATGACCCTGCTGGGATTTGAAACACAGATGGTCTAGCTTCCGGCGTCAGAGAAACAACAAGTCACCACAGCACGAAAACCTGACAGACGCATGGTGATGTCGACAGTCAGCGGCTGCCAAGGTGATTCTGACCCCTAGGGTCAGCGGAGGAGACACCCCAGAGGGTTTCTGAGGTGGTAACTTCACAAAAGCAGACTGTGTCGGAGAGGCTGGTGGTTGGACACCCCCTGACCTTCTTGGTTAGCCTCCAGGATTTGACCCCTGCACCACCATCATTCCTTCTATACTAATACTATCCCCTGAGCCCTTCCTGGTAACTCTGGCTTCTCTTCAGCTGACTCCAGAGGGTCAGGGTAGACTCCCACCAGCTCCACTGCAGAAGGACAATTCCAGGAAAGTAAATCTGAATCCATTCTTCTTCATGGTGCCAATAAATGAGCAGAACAGGGAGGAAAAGAGGCCGTGTATCTGCGAGGGGTAAGGGTGCAATTCAGCCCAGTGGATTCGGGTTACAAGGGCAGACAGAAAAGACAAGCAGGCCCTCGTTCCTTGACCTAGTGCTGTTTGCTGGTCCCCTGGGCCTGCTCTGACCTGGCCCTGTGCACAGGTCACCCTTGGGCTCAGAGCCAGCTAATTCTCTTAGACACCCCTGTGTGAGCAACACTGGCCCCTGGGGGAGAATGGGTGTACCTAGGTCCCAACCCTGTGACCTTGACAGAGGCTGGCGTGGCCACCACTTTGTGCAGGGGAAATGATGGTACACTGTGGCTGAGGAGCTCTGGTAGTACAGAGCATTCTGTGTTGGCTGCTAACCTTTAAGTCCGTGGTTCAAACTCCCCAGTTAAAAACAAAACAAAACAACAACACAAAAAAAACAAAAACAAAAAAAGGGGAACAGCAGACTCCTGCCAAGATTTACAGCCTCAGAAACCTGGCAGAGCCTGGCTATGAATCAATCTACGTTGTTGTTGTTAAATGCCTTCGAGTCACAGACGACTCATAGCGACCCATGGAACGAAAGACCAGAACACTGTTCATAGAGTTTCTGGAGGCAAGCTATTTCAGAAGTGGATGCCACTCCTGCTTCCAAGCTTGTTTTAATTGGGGAGCTCCATCAAACACTGTCCACCGTGGGTAACCATTAATGCATTTAACACTAGTGTCATAGTGTTTCGCATCACAGCAACCATGATTTACCTCTGTACAATAATGCACAGAATAGTGCTAAACTTAGAAGAATGTTTTTAAAAAACAATTAAAACCAGGCCTGAGGGCCGCAGATTAAAATCACCCACCTTGGGTTGAAGGCAGTGGCGGCTTTAAGCCCAAAAGGAGAAGGGGAGGAGGGAGGAGACGGCCATAATCGCCCAGATTTGCCCCACCCAGGGTGGCTGTGATCCTTTGGCTGGAGAGCATGATGCTGTGATGATAACCTTGGGCTTGGTAGCATCACTTTCTGTCCACTAGGCCAACGTAGCTCTATGTTGTTTTTGTTGTTAAGTGCCGTAGATGTGGGTTTCCCCCCTGAGTTTAGATGCATGTCTAGAACCTTTGTTTGCTGAGGGGCTAGTCTGTTTCAGAGCCATGCTAGGTGCTGGGGGTTCACACCAGGGATTCACAAAGGAAGGGCTCTGGTTTCAGCATGTCTTGGGTTCTCGCAGGACCTCCACTTACGAGTTTTGTGATCTTCAGCAAGTGACTTCACTTTCTTCCTCTGTGAATTGAGGAGGACAGACTGGTACACAATTCCCAGGATCGGCTTGGGGATTCAGTGAGCTTAGTTTTGGTGCATACTCTAAAAACATGAGTGGAGTGCTTTCTCTCTACTGTATTTATCAGAGCTAGTATCTTTATTTGCGTCTTTGTTTATTGTCTGGCTGGCTTAATAGCTGACGCTCCATGAGAAAGGGGCCTTGTCTGTCTTGCTCATCCGGCCTCCCAGCCCAGAGCCCAGACAATGCCTGGTGTTGAGAAGGTGCTCCGTAAATATTTGTCTGCCTCATGAATGCTGTCTTTCACATTCTAGCTGTCATCACACAGCCACTGCGGGCCTGCCCTAGAGGAGCCCAAGGTCTGCTGGACTTAACAAGTGTAACACCGGCCCCCACAGCTGACTCTGCACAGAGATGCAGGGCACGCACTCCCGGGTCACCAACTGGGCTCAGTGCCCTGGCTTGACCAGCGACGGAGTGAATTGCAGCAGATAGAGCCCTGCAGAGTGAGCTGGCCACTCTAGAGAGCCTTGCACCCCAACTTCCCAGCGCCGGCAGCAAAGAGGGCCTCACGCCCAGGTGCTTGGAGCCAAGGTCCTCCTGCTCTTGGAGAGCAGGCTCCGTCATCTCGAGGGCATTTGGGGATGAGAATCCCCATCATACCGGCCTTGGAAGAGAAAATGAATTTTTCAGAGTTGGGGGGAGGGGAGGGCTTTGCAAACTGGGAGAGACACAGAGAGTTCAGGAAGCGGAATGAGCGTGTTGGCTGAGTGCGGGATGCAATTTCAAATTAAGGGCGAGTTGCAACCTCCAGGGCGGAGTTCCGTTGCAGAGAGATGCTCCGAGGGGCTGGGAAGTCCGAGAAGGGTGGACTGCGGCTCCCGGAACCTGCAGAACCCCGCTCCGGTTCCGGCCGTGTCTCTGCCGCCCCTGCGTCCACCCCGTGCGCCCCTTCAGCTTGGCTTTGGCTGGAATCAGGGTAACCGTCCCGACCGTTACGTAACTTTCCGGGTGCAGGAAAATAATCCAGAGAGATAATGGGGATTTTATCTGGGGGGCGAGGGAGAAAGGAGATAGATTGTTAAGCTTTTTCTCCAAATAGAAGTCACAGAAGTGCGCAGGGAAAATAATATGAAATGCTCCTATTTCCCACTGCTTAGAATGAATAAGTGTTAACATTTTGACATCTCTGGGAGTGAAAAGTCCCAGTAAATGAGCATGCAAAAGAAATCGGCATGCATCCCTTTATTATTCAGCCTCGCCGCCCCCAAGCCCACAGCAGGGTTCTTTCAAAGGGTAAGTTCCAGCTCTCTATAAAAATCCCTTCCACACGGTCAGCACTGCAGACAGGTCGCCTCCACGAGCATGCCCCTGCGCAGGATGCAAACCTCCACGTTTCCGCTCGGATTTTTCTCTGAGAAACCCTGCAACTTCAACTCCCGCGTGCAACTTTGCAACTCTCGCTCCAGCCAGGGGGGCCTATTTTCCCGCTCCGTTCGGCGGAAGGATCCTTGCGTAGTGGTATTACGCTCAACCGCCGCCGCCTCTCTCCCCGCGCTCTGGCCACGCCCCCGTGAGGCCTGGCCACGCCCCCGGAGGGTAAGCCTCGTCTGCCGCTGCCGCTGGCCCCGCCCCTCCGAGCACGCCCCCCCCCCTCCCGCTGCCGTACGGCCCACAAAGAAGTCCCGGCCGGGCCGCCTCACTGCCGGCGAGTCGTGCGCCGCCCGTAGTTGGCTGAGCGGTCGCCCGCCATCTTGTTCTTCTCGTGATTCCGGAGCGGAGCGAAGGAGGAAGCAGGGAGCGGGCGGCTGGGGGGACCCGCCGCGGCTGCCGCCACCGCCGCCACTGCCGCCTCTGTGCTCGTCGGGAAGGAGGTGTGAGGCCCGGGCGCGAGCCAGCGGCAGCGCCGCTGCGGGAGGGTCGGCGGCGGGAAGGCGATGGCGGATATCGACAAACTCAACATCGACAGCATCATCCAACGGCTGCTGGAAGGTGAGGGGTCGGCGGGCGGCCGGGGCCGCGCACGAGGGGGGTCGGAGGCCGGTGGGCAGCGTGGGGGCCGGCCGGTCCCGAACTCGGCCCGCGCTCGCTTCTCTCGGCGCGCGAACCGCGGACAGGCGGCCCCGGGCCCCGGCCGAGAGGTGCCAACGCCGCCCGCTGCGGCCCGGGACCCCGCACTGACCACCGCCGCGGGACCCCGCACTGACCACCGCCCCGGGACCCCGCACTGTCCACACCCCTGGGACCCTGCACTGTCCACCGCCGCGGGACCCTGCACTGTCCACCGCCCCGGGACCCCGCACTGTCCACACCCCTGGGACCCCGCACTGTCCACACCCCTGGGACCCTGCACTGACCACCGCCCCGGG